AAGCCACCTCCTCCCCTCTCCCGCCTCCCCTCACACACAGCATTCCCATCAGCCTCCACCACTCACCGAGGGTTGGAGGAGTGGCCGTATGCCAGGAACCCCCCGACCCCCCCCGGCTGCCCGGGCAAAAGGTTGCAGCAGCAAACTGTCAGGCTCCGGTTGCTCCATCTTCTCATACTCAGCAGGAGCAGGATAATTGTGAGGTGTGTTTCCAGGATATCACTTTTCCAGCACCTCCCCCAACACTGACAGTCTACAAACACCTCTGCATATGTGCCCTCTCTGTATGTACCAGTAGTCAACAATGAGAATCACCTCTTGTACCCCAGCCAGCATAGCCACCTGTAGATGGATTTGCCCTCTAGGGGTGCCCTTGTCTTTCACTGACCACAGAAGGTACCTATACAAATAGTTTAAAACAGATGCTGAAGTTTTTAGATGCCTGTTAAAAGCTTCCACAGAGGATAGGAATGCCTTAAGGCTGGTCAAGAACCAGAGAACTGGTCACCATGAAACTGGTTTGCCGATGGAGATTATAAGTCATAGCTATTTTATGAATGGTTTTTAAGTAATAAGATATCATTTGGGGTAAATAGCAAAGGCTGGTTGATCAGCTATTGTCACCCTACAAGCAAACTTTAAAAGGTTGCTATCCTTTGTTCAGTGATTCATAACAACCTATAGCATCATGCTACACCCTCACTGCTAAGCACTCCTAAGTTGAAGTAATGAAGACTACCGGGTCACTGGTTTCCATTGACAAGGGAGAGAGAGGAAGTAACAAATTGTACCATTCTCTTAGTCACAAGCATTTCCATGCTTTTCACAAAATGACTGTCTATTCTTTGGATGGAGTGTTTGTCAGGTCAGACAGCTGGATTCTCTTTTGAAAGTGACTCCAATGCTTTAGGACAATGCTTCTTTAGGAATAGTACCTCTGCTATTCCGTGCTATCCCTCAAGCAATTTCAGAGGTCACAAAAGTCAGGGTCTTACACTAAAGAACCAAATTCAGAAAAATGCATTGTTCTTCTATCCCACCCTACCTTATTTTCCTTGCTGAGAGAATATATTTGTTTTAAGCTGACAAGAACTTCTCTATGAGATCAGGGGGTACTGCACTGTAGGTTTCCACCTTCTCTTTCCATATGCATATGGAAATGTCCTCCCAAATGTATACTCCCAAATGTCCTCTAATATCTACCTGATTTAAATGCATGCTTCAAAAGCCACGTTTGGATTATAAAAGCCCACTTATACAGAATCAAAGCTCCTCTTGTCTGTTGCATTTTCTATTTAATAGCAGAGAAAAGCTGGAAATAAATTGATCCTCTGAACAGTACTTTGTGGATGACATTGATTGATAGTTAAATGTTTGTAAGACCATGAAATGAACACCCATGACAGTTCTTGTTGCACTTCCTGCATCCACCAGGAACAATAGCTACCCTTTCTTTTTGGTTGTCGGGTTGGGGGTTTGTGTGTGTGTGTGTATGTTCTTGAATTATTTATTAGGGGGTGAAGGGGGGGGAAGGGGGGGAGTGGTGTCATATTCAATGGCTTTTTACTCCTCCAGGATACACCAGAGCATTTTAGTCTCTGCATCTGAAATACTGAACATTATTAAGCTTGTTAATTCCTATGTATTCCTAAGAGAGAAGCAGATTGATCTGCTTATCAGGCTATGTTTACCTAGTCAATATTTATTTATCCTTACATATAAATGTTTATCTTATTAGGGCAATAAATTATCCCAGTTCTAATCCAGTTTCTTGCATGAAGCCCTTTTCTTTCCTGGGGCCCCTTTTTCAGAAATGTCATAGAATATGTAACACCCATGTCTATATTTTTTTTCTCTTTCTCAAGCTGTGGTCTTGCATCCATTAAGTTCATTGCAAAGGAGAAACTAAATGTTTTCCAGGTATGGCATACATTCTCCCACTGTAGTAGCACATAACAGATGATGAATTTTTCTATTTCTTGCCCCAGGAGAATGGATATGAAACTGTTAATCCAGCAATTGGTACTTCTGCTATTGGAATTTGTCTCATTAGGCACAGCTATATTAGGAACTGTCAAAGTAAAGCATGCCAGGGAAAGATTTTTGTCAAAGAGCAAAAGTGATCAAATAAAAAAGTGGAAGGTATTCTGCCACTCAGAGAAGTGTAATGCCAGAAGCAGACTTCAAGGGAAGAGCAGATTTGTGAGTCTCTGAAGTAGTTTGTGTTTTAGTATATGGAGAATCATAGAATAGTTTGGGATGAAAGAGACCTTTAAAGGTCATCTAGTCCAACCCCCCCTGCAATGTGCAGGGACATCTTCAACTAGATCAGGTTGCTCAGGGCCCCTCCAACTTGACCTGGAATGTTTCCAGGGATGGGGCAGCTACCACCTCTCTGGGTATTTGTGCCAGTGTTTCACCACACTCATTGTAAAAAATTTCTTCCTTATATCTAGTCTAAATCTACCTTCTCTTAGTTTAAAGTCATTACCCCTTGTCCTATCACAACAGGCCCTGCTAAAAAATTTGTCCCTATCTTTCTTATGAGCCCCCTTTAGATACTAGGAGGCCACAATATGGAACATGAGTAGATCTTTGGTGGGTAGCAAAGTGATGATGGACATTTTAACCAGTTCCAGTCTTACAAAAAAGCTGTTTATGTGTGTAGAGAGCAATTCCAGTTTTCCTTATAGCTGCCCAATTTCTAGTGCATCAATCGTGGTGAGAATATGGAGAGCCAAATAGCATTATCTGCCTGCGGTCACTCACATAGCATGTGCAGGTGGAGAGGGAGATGATTTGTTGTGGTGGGAAAAGGATATTTGCCTTCCAAGTGTGAAAAGTGATTTGAGAAGATGGCAATGTCTGGACGGATGGAAGTGGACACCTAGCACTGTTGCATTACCCATGCTCTGAGCTGAGCAAACAAGAGGGCCAGCCTGAAAGCCAGATTGGTACATGAACATTTTCCTATGTATAAGGTCATTTGCTCAAGAGATCATGTGCCTTAAGTGTTATTTCCAATCAACATATGAGTCTTTTTTTTTTTTTTTTAATTCAGAATTTAGGAACTAAAACCAAAAGGATCTGGGGTATTGCTCTGAGCTACTTTGAGAGCTTTGTTCTCTAATTTCTTGGCTGAAACTGGGTTAAGAATTCACCCCTCTCCTATGCTTGGAAGCAGTGACACTGTGTTTCAGACTGCTATGAATTTATAGATCTGGGAACTTAGGCACAGAAAGAGAAAAAGTGTTATTTTATGAAGACATCAAAAAGGCTTGAATTCAAGGCACAGCTATTACCACCTTAATAAAAAAGACCACTAAGCAAAAAATAGGCAACTATTACCTTCTTGCATATGAAATCAATTGATAACTCTTTGACTGAAAACCTGAATGTAAGTGCACTGCCAATTTAGTAGCCAGGTCTATTGAAACCCCCACAGCACACCTTTTCTTCTTTCCCACATGTTAGTCAATCAGGCTCGCCTCTCACTTCCCTCGTACAAGCCTTGCTCGTCTGCCTGTAAATAGAAAGAAGCTTCAAAGCTCAGACAGCTGTTGTGAATATCCATCTACACTGTTAGAAGGCAACGCTCTCTCTTCTTTTTCAGGTCAGAGGCAAATTGATGTTGACTTGCTTTGATTTTCTTAGTCTAGACTGTGCTTGCACCAACCCGAAATTAATTGATTTTCCCATGCAAAGGTTTACTTACATCCCATAAAAAAGCCCAACATTGTGCCCAATCCTGACAGTAGCTACTGCTCTGCCTATCCGTTTCCACCCTTGCCTGGCATGCACAACTCTCACTGGGGCAGATGGAGTATGTTCTCTGTTGGGAGAAGAGACGTCTCTGTAGCAATCACAGAAAACCATCTGGGCACCCTTACAAATAGCTTGGATCTCAATATCATTTTTCTAAATGTTATTCAAACACTAATCTGGAAAATGTAATACCCCTCCAGTGCCTTGGTCAGTTCACCTGGCACTTAGGGAAAGCACTCACTGATTCCTGTGAACCCCACAGAATCAGTAAGAAAAGATGTGGAGATGGAGGTTCTCCCCAGCCAGAGTGATCTCAAACCGCCCTCTCAGGAAATTACTGATTATGCCCATGGCTGTGGTTTTATTTGACTTGTGACAACAAAGTCTGTGTCATGCTAATGTACATATTAAGTAACACAAAACAATTTTCTAAGTTCTAGAATGGTCTGAAACACGTTCATGAGAAAACCATCGATACTGCTCAATGTTTACTTACCTCCAAAGTGAGAGACAGGTAGTCCTATTTCTTGCCCTGCAGGCACTAACAGGATTCATGATTGAAGAAAAAAAATAATTACAGGAGTAACTCAGATCTTTGGACCTGCACACCTCTCCTGGGGGTCCTGGGCTCACCAGACTACCTCCACACTGCCAGCAGCTCACAGCTAACACACGGACCCTCAGTCAGCATCAGCATCATCCCAGATTCCATACATTAAATAAATGCTTGGTATATTAGGTACAGATCAATCTTATTCCGCATCTTCTCCTTCATTCCTGAAGTGTCCCAAGGTGTCCGTTCACTCCAGGCCAGTTCTCAGTGAACACCAAGTGAGGCAGAGGGGTACGTGTGTCTCCTGGGTTCCCCATACAGCCAGAGTGTGCATACTGACCAAATGCTGTGATCATGGTAGGGTTTCGGGTTTTGGGGATGTAAGTTAGATGCACTTGTGCTAACTTTCCCAATTCATGGAGATGAAGTGACAAAATCCCTAATTATAAAAACAATTACAATTAAAAAGACATTTTTTTTCTAAAGGCAGGGTTTTGGATGATGAAACACATAAGCACTTTCCATTCCAGATGCTTTCTTTGATCTCCTTGGCTCACATTGGAAATAATGCACTTGAAGAGATGAAAAGAAGACCG